AAAAAAAAAAAAAAAAAAAAAAAAAAGTCCTAAAAATAAATAAATAAATAAACACCTCAAATTCAACTAGCTGTGGCATTTTTCTCAGTACTTATATCACTATGCCCAATTTAATTTATTTTAATAAAACAGGAAGAGATGCTAAACACATTACAGGCTTCTAAAATTACTCCTTAATATTTATTTTGGGTCAGTTTTAAAAGGCTTATGAATCCGTAGCCTTGAGTTAATATTTAGCATAGTTGTTAGCTGAATTCTAACTTCAGTCACCTGCAACTTGTAAATCTTGCCCCGAGATGGACTACGCTTCCCAGGAGCAGCCCCCAAGAGAATCACATGAAGTGCATTCTGGGAATTGTAGTCTTGGCTGAGCTTCTTTTCTCCCAGTCTTTGACTCACGCCCTGATTCCTGTTGAACCCGTGGGCTACCAATTAGCTGGGGCCATGTCGGTGAGACGGTGGTCCAACCGGCAAAGCTGGTGTGGAAGCCTTGTACAATGATTGGCCAATGGATGACCCCGGGGCGGAGCAATGGGGACGGGCGGGGAGACCACAGTGATTGGAGGAGACGTCCGCGACGGCGGGTGGGGATTGGCTGCGCGCTGGATCAGGGAGGCCTGGGAAGGGGCGGAGGAGGGAGACTAGAGCAGGAAGAGCAGTGGCGAGGCGGCGGCGGCTGAGTCGGTGGTGGCAGAGGCGAAGGCAACAGCTGTAGGGGTTGGCAGCGACCCTGAGAGCAGGATGCGGGTCCGGATAGGGCTGACGCTGCTGCTCTGTGCAGTGCTGCTGAGCTCGGCCTCGGCGTCCTCGGGTCAGTATCCGCCCCCTCGGGCTGAAGGCCCAGAGCCGCCGCCCCCCAGCCTCTACCGCCGGCGGGGCCGTGGGGACTCCAGGCTCGGGACCCGGTTCTCCCTGGGCACACCTCGCACCGGCTTGTCACTCGCTGTTTGGCTTTGCTTGGTCTGCGCCAAAGGGGTGATTTAGGGAGGTGGAGTTGGGTAGAAAAAGAAGGGGCGGTCACACTGCCCACATCTCTCTCCCACGTAACAAACTTTACGCGACTCTCTCTCTCAAGCGAGGAGTTAACTCCAAGGGAATGAATCCTGACACAGGAGGCCGAGGGGAGCGTCCTCGACCCTGGGGTAGATTATGTGTTATATCGGATCTGGAACTCTGGGTTTGTGAATTGTAAGTTAAATAATTGACTAACCTGGAGCTGTCACTTTGGGGCAGAGGAGGATCCCTCCAGACCAGGATGTTGACAGTAGTTTGGTGAGTTTGCTTAACACTTGAGATGGTCCCTGATCTGTTTGTCTGTTTCAAAACGGAGACATTTGATCTCATCGTAACCACTTTATGCTTTTTTGAAACCTTCCTGTGAAAGCAGTGACCTTTGTGACAGTGTTTCTGAGTTGCCCCATGTTTGTTGACAGTGATTTTATGATTTGGGGGAAAATCTTGGTTCTTATGAGATGCATTTTATATAGATATAGAAATTTGCTTTTGAATTGATTTTCCAATTAGCGAATTTTTATTCTGGTTCTGTTTTTTACCCCCTTGTTAATATTTTAATCTGCCTACATTTGAAAACTCATTTTCAGAGTGTTCATGAAAAACTTAGTGTTTCTAAGTGTTGATAAAGAAAAAATAGTACAGTAAAACTTTGGAATCTTAATCTGTTTCAGTTAACAGGACAGCTGCTCTGTGGCTTCATGTTTTTGGGGGACAACACAGAGTATAAATGCCAACTTAAAAAATGTCAGCTTTTTTTTTAACAGAAAATTCCCAGATGGTTATTTGAATCCCCAAATTACCTGTCCTAGTTGTAAATCAATGCCATAACGTCATTCTGCTTCTAAAATAAGAGGGCTAAACCTAAATTCTATCCATGATGTGGTTTGAAATACCATTTCAAAAGCACCAACCCTGTGCTAATTACTTTACTGCCAACATCATTCCTTGAGGTCGGCTCCCCCCCTCCAGTAATAGTGATGGTTTGAGTTAATGACCAGATCTTTAGACTGTACATAACTCTCAAAGCACTTTTAGCAGTTATTTAATATTTAATCAAAAAGCATAAATGAAGCTGTTGAGCCTAATGAGTAGCGTACCTGCTGGATCATGGACCTCCTGCATCAGAATTTCACTTAAAGGTTTGTTAAACATTTGGTTTTAGGTCTGGAACAGCTCAGGTGTACATAGATTAACAATCTCCATGAGGGGTTCTTCACACTAAAGAGAACTACAGTAATGAAAGAGCACAGTGTGTATCCCTTTGAATTTAATTGGCAGTGTTTTTCTAAAAAATTAAAGCATAGAAATGTTCTTGTCTTTCTTTGACTGTATTTCATATACTTAGAGCTCCATGTCAGTGAAAATGATACTTGAAAGCAACAGTTGGGGCTTTCAGGATGTTATAATAAAATACTCAACACTGATGTGTTAAATCTTTGGGTTGTATTGATGTAGGTAGAGGACTGTATTCAAGAAATGTCTGCTCTGATTTCCATCATAGTTAAAGCTGTGCGAAAACATTTCAATAGTAAAGGCAAAAGCCTTAGCCAGAACTAAAACAATTTAGATGTGCATACCAAAAGGTAATAGAGACAGTACTGTGCTCACATGAAGTTCATGTATCATGAAACACCTGTGTGGGCCAGGCTTATGCCTGTAATCCCAGTACTTTGGGAGGCCGAAGTGGAAGGATCACTTGAGCCCAGGAGTTCAAAACCAACCTGGGCAACATGGCAAAACCCCATATCTATGTAACTCCAGCTGTGGTGGCACATACCTATATTTCCAACTACTTGGGAGGCTGAGGTAGGATGATGGAGTGAGCCCCAGGAGGTTGAGGCTGCACTGAGCTGTGATTATGCCACTGCACTCCAGCCTGGGCAATAGAATGAGCCCCTGTCTCAAAAGGAAAAAAAAAAAAACCTGTGTAAAATAAAGTTGTATAAATTAAGCAATGATTTTTCAGTTGTCATTTTCATTCACTGAAGTGTTTATTTACACAGGATTTCAGCCTCAAAGTTTAGATCTAAAGTTTTACTCCTGTATAAAAATCAAGTTTTTGGTGATAATTTTGTGTTAGAACGTTAGTGGTTACCCAGGGCAGGTCGCATCAATCCAGGTAAAGTATTCTCACCCAACAGAGAATCTTGATTCTGTCACTGCTGGTAGCTGTTATCTAATGCCCTGTTTTAGAGGCATGTAGAAATATGATATAGTCGGATGCTACATAATAACATTTTGGTCAACAGTGGACCCGATGTAAGATGGTGGCCCTGTGAGAATATAATGGAGCTGAAAAATTCCTGTCAGCTAGTGACATTGTAGCCATTGTAACATCATGGCACAATTACTTTTTAAAAAAATAAATTTAGTGTCATTTATGTGTATAGTGTTTATAGTCTACAGTAATGTATAGTAACATCCTGGGATTCGCATTCACTCACACTCACCCTCAGCAACTCTTAATCCTGTAAGTTCCATTTATGGGAAGTGCCCTAGACAGGTATACCATTTTTAAATCTTTTATACCATATTTACTGTACCTTTTCTATGTTTAGCTATGTTTATGTATACAAATACGTGCCATTTTGTTACAGTTGCCTACAGTATCCCATATAGTCACATGCTGTACAGATTTGTAGCTTAGGAATAGCAGGCTACACTATATAGCCCAGGTAGTAGGCTATCCCATTTAGGTTTATTTAAGTATACAGAAAGGAAATCGCCCAGTGATTCACTTTTCACAACTTGTGACTAATAGTAGGAACGTTTTCTTTTTCCTATGAATAAAGGAGGAGACTAAAAAGAAATTTCATTTTCTCAGGATAATGGTGAAAAGGCTATCATTTTTCTCACAAATGCATGTTTTCTCATTTTTGGCAGGAAGAGGCAAATGGCTTCACCTTTTTTTCCTTTGTGCCAAGCAATGTTAGTCATTTTAGTTAGGTCCACTACCAGGTATTTCAGGTAATGATTGTAAATTCAGAGAGTAGTTTTCAGATAGCAGAGGATGTTTGATTTCACTGTTTTAGTTGTTCCTTAAAACAGTATTGTGAGTCAACGAGGCAGAGGTGTTACCTATCCCCATTTGACAGATTGAGAAACAGAGGCTGAGCAGGCTTTTGTTATTGAACCATGTGTGTGAGAATTAATATGTGATGAAGCCAGATTCCAGACCTAGCTCTCCAGGCCTCAGAATTGAAGACATTTAGAATCAGGAATATCCTAGGATCTGTACCGATTCAGAGTTAAAGCAGAAAACAGGCTGTCTGGTCTCTCTTCACCAAACTCTAGACTTCCTGTGTTTGAAGGTATCAGTCTGTTTAATTTACATAATGAGTGAAAAAATGATTTTGTGTTGATTACTTTTCTCCTAAAGCATATCTCTGGTACTTTGCAGTTTTGTTAGCCAATACAATAAAAATAAAAACTGGTCTTTTTCAAAGGAAGGTGTACAATTAATAAAGTAATGTGAACCATTATATTTTGGATGTGATGCTAATGAGCAAGAAATGTAACTTGATCCTTTTGTATTTTTTCTTGTTGCTTGATATCTGTGTTCAGATGCAAGCATTACTATTTACTTTGTATTTATTCATAACTTCAGTATCTTTAATCCTTTCCTGAATACTGCATATCAGAAGTTCCTAGGTTATAAACAACTCTTTAAAAAGTTTTGTGTGCCGGGCGCGGTGGCTCAAGCCTGTAATCCCAGCACTTTGGGAGGCCGAGGCGGGTGGATCACGAGGTCAAGAGATCGAGACCATCCTGGTCAACATGGTGAAACCCCGTCTCTACTAA